TTTTGATTTAAAAGACATATCAATGCAAATTAAAAAAAGTTACCTCTGGTTAGTTATTAACACGTCTTCAGAGCCAAACTATATTGAATAACATCACTCGCGTTTTGTCATCTGTCAAAAAATAAATTGTTTTTCAAAAAAAAAAAATCAATTCGCGTCTGTCCAATAGGATAAATAATTAATGCGTACGCGTCGATCAATCACAAAATTCTTGTTTTCTTATTTTTTTTTGCAAAATGCCACCCAAAAGAAAGTGCAATCAAAGAAGTCGCGAAGGACAAAAAGAACAACACGAGTAAGTGTTTATCGTAAGAATGGTGGTGGTGGTTATCGCCCGCCACTCATCGTTACTCTAGTTAATTAAAATTTTGGTATTTTTGTATTTACACAAAGATTCACAGAAAACAATTTCGAGCAATTTTCTAAGAAAATTAAAAGGTAGATTTTATTATTTATTGAGATTACTCTTTATTCTACATAACCAAACTTTATGTTTTATTCTATTTAAGTGATTCAAATGATGATAGTCCTGACGAAACACAGAGTACATCAGACCATGAATATCTTCCTTCTTCATCTGAAGCATCAGATGACACTTTTACAAAAATCAAAAAGAATGTTTATACTTTTGATTGTCTAGTAGGTCTCGGAGAAGAGGATCCAAAATTAACTGAAAATCTATTAGAGTAATGTCTAAATTTTATGATTCAAATTTGATGGAAGGCAATTTGTACTAAAAGTTTTTTTGAATTTGTATATAGTGGGTAATTGACGATTATGATATCTCAAAATTATTAATGGAATACCGTGCATGTGCAATAAAAAATTTAACAAGTGAAAATATAGATATATCAGAGCTTTTGTAAGTACTAGATTTTCTAATCCTTTATTAGTTTAAAACTGTGGATTTTGTGATAGGATTGACTTATTCTTTCATATATATGAAATTTCAGATCAATTAAACATATATTTCTCCTAGAACAAAATGATAATGCTGGTATTCAAATGTTTTTTGATTTTGTTAAATGGAAGAAAATGTTTGTTCAAATTGTTTCCGAGTTACCTACATATGAGATATCAATTGATAGTCTGGAGTGTTGTCATGTAGTCGGAAGAGTAAGATTTTTTGGAAGGATCTGCTAGATATGTGACATTAGTCTTTGAAACTGATTATTATACATTTGTTTAACTAGGTTGCAAGTTCAAATATCGATGAATGTGAGTCATCAATAAGAAAATCAAGAAAAAATATGGCAACTCAGAAGATATTATATTAGATGTTCTTTATTCAGTGTAAGCATTTTCATGATTGAACATCCCATATCATTTCCATTTTGACTTTTCTTACATATTTGCACTTTCCTCATCATGCTATAGTATCAAAAATTTAGAAAATAAGACAAAGAGTAGAAAAGAAGATACATTTGTGCATGACAATATAGAACCAATGTTAAACTATTTTTTTCCGAATGGCAAATTATATAGATGTGAATGGTAGGTATCTTAGTATTATTTGCATGTTTTGTGGCAACAATTACTGATCATACCAGTGTGCTATTACCAGGTCAACTACAGTCTTAGAGGAATCAGCACATCGTAAAAAAAAATTTGATCCAACATTGATAGGAAATAAACCAGATTTTTCAGTTTATAATATGTTCAAAGAGTCTAATCATAATCTTTTAGTGATGGAAGTAAAACCTGTAAAGCCTAATACAAATCCATTATTCAGTGATCTAAGAAAACTTGGCAATGAGATGAAAGATATAATAGACAAGTGCATAGAAGATGGCATTTATGATGATAGGTTAAAAATTTGTGGCATATTGTTAGAAGGCAAGCAAACAATCTTTCATATGTTTTTCTTTGTATAAACACTTATTTATGAATATAATCAATGCTTTTCTTATAACTAGGGCATGAATGTGATGCATTTGTGATGGATATCAAACATGATGCTGTATATAGGATGATACACTTGGGAAAGTTCTTTGCACCACGTAATTGTTATGATTTGAGTGTAATTTCTTCAGCAGTTGAATTATTATCAACAATAAAGGTCAGCAAAGTATTTCTGGATGATAATCTCATGTCATATAATATACTAATTCTTTCATTTTTTACAAAAAGTCAATTGTCACAGAGTCTGCACAAATTTGTATTAATAATTTGAGGTCACAAAACAATCAAAAGATAATAAAAAGAAAAAGTATGATTAGGAATTCTTATACACCAATAAAATATGCAGTGAAAAAAGAAATGACAATGAAAAGAACATTACTGGTATGTATCAATAATTATACACATAATTTTTCACCAATAATCTCTAATCATAAAAATATTTTTTTTGCCATATAATATGCTTAAGCAAAAAAAAATTCCTGGAGTCAAAGCTGGAAAACCAAATTAACTCATAAAGAAGCCTAAAATTAGTCGCTGAAATGCATGATTATATTAATACTGAACAAAATTTTTAATAAATAAATTTAATATATACAATAATATAAATATTATAAAGAATAAAAACTCATATAAAAACTAATGCTTAAAGTTTACATTTAATTGTCTTTCATGAATGCTGGTTTGGGTTTTTGGTTTCATAAATCTAACAATACCTAAATATTTCTGTTGTTCAAAAGTCAATAATATTTCTAAGCTGCTAATTGGATTTTTTATAGATAACATAACATATCAACAAATGGAATCAACTTCTAATTGTGCTGTTCTATAGTAGATCTGATATAGAATAGCTTCATATTAGTTATTTTATGCAGAGGTGATTAAATACAATTGTGGTGTTAAACAAACATTACTGATCCCTGAAATTTTTGGTAACACCAATGTTCACTTTGTCTGGTTTTGTTGCAGTATGCCCCATATAGTAGAGATTTTTTCTCGATCATTTTCATAAACTCAAATTACTATTAATTAATTAAAGAAACGTAAACTGTTATAACTCACCATACAGATGAGATTTTTTAATTCTGAAAAATGTTTTGAGCTTGCAGAGTATACATCTACAATGTAACAGAGCCATATTTATCAATATTAATGTACTTCATATTGAAAAAGCAATGTTTGTCATAAATTCTAGATGTCTACTAATGCAAAATTTAAAAAATCATAATAAACAAAAAAAGGGCGTTGTTACGTTATAGATAAGGTTCTTAACAATTAAAAACACTTTAAATTTTTTTTCTAGCTATTTTGCTTCCAAAGTTATAAACGTTTTAAGATTTTGATTGTTAAAATAAGAAAATCGCCTTTGCATAAACTGTTCTAACTCACCATAATTATATTTAAACAAAAAAAAATAGCGTTGTTACGTTGTAGATAAGGTTCTTAGAGATTAAAAACATTTTCAATTTTTTTTGTAGCTATTTTGCTTCCAAAGTTATAAATGTTTTAAGTTCCCGACTGTTAAAATCCATTTTAATTTATATTTAAATTATTAAAGAAAATCGCTTTTCATGAAAACTGTTATAACTCATCATACGGACAAGAATTTTTAATTCTGAAAAATGTTTTGAGCTCGCAGAATATGTCTCTACAATGTAACAGAGCCATATTTTAAAAATATTTATTAACATTGATGACTTTCATGTTGTTTTGTCATAAATTCCGAATAACTATCAATACATAAAAATTTAAAAAAATTATATTAAACAAAAAAAATAGCATTGTTACGTTGTAGATAAGGTTCTTAGAGATTAAAAACACTTTCAATTTTTTTTGTAGCTATGTTGCTTCCAAAGTTATAAACGTTTTAAGTTCCCGACTGTAAAATCCATTTATATTTAATATTAAAATTAAATTATTAAAGAAAATCACTTTTCATGAAAACTGTTATAACTCATCATGCAGACAAGAAATTTTAATTCTGAAAAATGTTTTGAGCTCACAGAATATGTCTCTACAATGTAACAGTGCCATATTTTAAAAATATTTATTAACATTGATGACTTTCATGTTGTTTTGTCATAAATTCCGAATAACTATCAATACATAAAAATTTTAAAAATATTTTTTTGCTATTACAGTATTAACAAGCGGGAAACTTAAAAAGTTTATAACTTTGGAAGCAACATAGCTACAAAAAAAATTGAAAGTGTTTTTAATCTTTAAGAACCTTATCTATAACGTAACAACGCTATTTTTTTTGTTTAATATAATTTTTTTAAATTTGATCAACATATTTATGTGGTACAAAACCCTTACTAATTGATTTTATTATTTGGTTTCCCCTATGTTTGTGATTATATATATTTGTATCTAACACCCCAATACCCGGTGGGTATAATACCCAGGTGGTACCATTACTAAAATAATAAAGATCGGCATAAAATTTTTTACGTTTATTTATTATAATTACAAACAAGCATAACATATAGAATCTATTTATTCTATTTATAAAAATAATACAATTTCACATACTTAATAATGATTCAAATTGCAAACATCTATGATTCTTTACCCACACCCCCAACCATTTAAACTAGTAAATGCGACATATTAAGACACCCAAGTGTTTATAA